GCATCGTCGCTCCTCGAGAGGTAAACAGGACTGGCAAGAAGTACCAGGCAGAATCGCAATTCTCAAGCAACATAATTGGGACCGGAAATTAATTTGCGAGGAGGTCCCAAGCGAAATCGCCAATTTCCGGTCGCCACTGAGAATTTCCGGTCGCCTGAAAAGCGTCCGGATTTTTTTTTGGGAGGAAGTATTAGGCGGAATGCGGATTTCCGGTCGTCACCCCATTTGGCGATTATAATATGAGAGGGGGTGAGGACGGACCGGAAATTTAACCATGGCGGCCCCTGCAACATTGTACCGGGGCCCCGTGGCCTAACGGGAGCCGAGCATCAAGGCTTATTCCCCGACCTCTGCGGTCCGGACTTTTTATTCCAGGGGGTTGTACGCCACGAAGCTTGCGCCACATAGATTACATACATTGCACCACTCTTACAGCGTCAACATTACAGACAACCCACATAGGAAGGATGAGCGACTGTCCAAGGTTACCCTTGTATCCTCCCCCTTCGTCCCAGCCTTGGGCGTTCTCGCTGGCCGCGCCCCGCGCGCAGAGTGTCGACGTGGCCTTCCAGAGCCCCTGCATCCTTGCCTCGCGTCCCTATTCTACGGGGGCGGGCTGCACACTACAAGTCCAGAGCGGAACAGCTCACTGTCTGGGGCCCGCGCTGGCCAGGACATCTTCATTGGCTCGCGCCGCGCCGCGGGCGCGGACCCCTTGGGTGCTCTGCGTGTCCCTCTTCGGGGGGGGGGGGGGGCGGCCGGGTCGGCGGCTCGCGGGCCCTCTCGGGGGCACGTTCGGGGGCCTCGGGGGGGGGGCCTCTTCTTGGCAGGGAGGGCTCCCGGGGCGGCTCCTCCCTCGGAGGAGGAAATGCCCCTATACCCTTTCCTCGTTTTCGCCTTTCGGATGCCTCCTGGGAGGCCCTCGTCGCCACCGCTGGATCTCGCCAGCGCTGGATCCGCCTCAGACCGCACCCTGTGAGAGGTCCGGGGGGTAGCCGTGTTGGTACGAGTTGGTTTCCCCATCCTTTGGTCAAGTCGGGCATGTCCCCCTACAGGAGGAATACTCAAAGATATTCAGATAGTCTGGGGACGATGTTTTTGACCATTCTTGCATATTTGTGAGCATTGGGGGGGGTACTTTTTTTATTGTTCGCCCGACCTAACTTTTGGGTCCCTCGTGGGGGTCTCTTGGGACGCCCTGGTGGCGTCTTGGGCCACCTTGGGGCCCGTGGGCCGTGGTGGAGCCCTCCTGTTGGCAGGTTGGTCCGTCTTGAATCGATCTTGGGGGCCCTGAGTCTTTCAGACACCCATTACACCAGAGAAAAACCCAATCAGTGGATGGTTTGAAATGAATCGTGGGATCGATCAGGAGATCGATGAGGAGATCGACCGAGAGCCCGGAAACCCGGAACCCACCAACATCGGCCTGGAACCAATAACCAGAAACCCGGGAATTCGAAACCGGGAACCCAGGAAACCAGCCGACTACCAAAATCGGTGGGACATTTCGTCAAATCTTGCAATTTCCGCTAGGACTCCTTCAGTGCAAGTAATGATTGGGGAAAACATTGTCACTATTGCCTGCTAGGGGGCATCTTCGGAATTCTCTCACGGCGTCTTGGGGGCCTCTTATGTTATCCTTGGGCCAGCTCGGGCCGTCTTGTGACCCATCTTGGCATCCTCGGAGCTCCAAATTGGAATGATCTGGTGGGGTGGTAGCGCGTCTGAGAAACGAATCTGCCAGAATCCCTGGGGGACTCCCCCCCTCCAAGTCGGCCGGACAGGGCTCCCAGGGGAGGGGTTTGGGATATGCAACTATCCCACACGCCGACGAAATTCCAACGCGAACAGCAATGGCTCTTAAGCCAGAAGATCCACAGCCTCTTAGGACGATCGATATAATCCTGGCAGCTTGCTCTCTGCCGACCTTTTACAACGACCTGCAAAAGCAAAGGAGGTCTCGTCGTCGACGTCGACGGCGATCTAACATCGAGGCCATCAGATGACTTTTGTGTGTGTCTCTGGGCGTCTCTGTGCTGGCACTGTTGCTGGCCTTGGTTCCTTTCTGCTGTCCGTTCGCCCTCCTCGTTCGTTCCACTTTCAGTCAAGACGCTTGCGCCATCCTCGTCCTCCTCCTGCTCCTCCGCCCCCTCCTCCTCCTCCTCCTCCTCCTCCTCCTCCTCCTCCTCCTCCTCCTCCTCCTCCTCCTTCCGCTGAGCCCCAGAAGAGGCGGGGAGTCCACGGTTGAGGCGTCGTGGGCTTCTTGGGGGCACTGACCGACTACCCGTGATTGAACCCCTGGGGATACTAAAATTCGGGGTCTGGGGGGATAATAAACGATTTTCCCAGCGGATGATGATGATGATGATGATGCTGATGATGATGATGCTGATGCTGATACTGATACTGATACTGATACTGATACGGATACTTATGCTACTGATGATACTGATAATGATGATGTTGATGATGATGGTGATGGTGATGGTGTTGGTGATGGTGATGGTGATGATGATGATGATGATGATGATGATGATGATGATGATGATGCTGATGATGATGATGATGATGATGATGATGATGATGATGATGATGATGATGATGATGATGATCTTGGGGTCTCGTGTAATTAGATCCTCGCACAAAACTGTCCTTGGTGTCCTCGAGTCTTGCGCTTCCAGGTGGCCTGCGCAGGAGAGGTCCCTGGCGCTCCTGGCCAAGAAATCTATCTCGCGTACCACTTCGAACCATTCGCCCATGCAGGCTCGGCACCCTTTGGTGCCGTCCTTGCACGGCAGGCACTTGCTGCAGGCCTGGGCGGCAGCGTTTGCCTCCTCGATGGTCGTGTGCTTGGGCTCGAGCGCGGTCGGGTCCCTGGGCGGCTTGGCCTTGGCCTTGGCCTTGATGAGACCTCCATTGCCATGCTCAGCGTTTTTGATGATATTGATAGTCAGCATAAGAAGATAACAACTTCGATTCGCAACTTCCCCCCGCGATAGTCAAGTTCGGCCTCGCCGCCCCTCTCCACAATCAATTCTATCTGACCCGGGGATAATAACCACTCAGGGGTTAAGGGGGGGTGCTCTTTGTTATCCGGAGGACTCTTTGTGGGCGTCTTGGGAGCTGCTTCGGGGGCCTGGCGGAGCCTCTTGGAGGCAGTCTTGGAGCGCCTCGGGGCCCGTTTCGGCGCCTCTTTTGGGCCCAGGGGGGGCCTCTTGAGGCTTATTGGGGGCCTCTTTTGCCAGGAGGGGAACAAAAACACACACACACACAAGTGATCGGCGACTCCCAGGAAAATATGGGAAACTGTAGGAAGTGAGGGGGGAAACGACAACCCAGAAAACATACGAAGATATGGGGACCCTGGGACCTATGTCTGCTTCATTTGTGTGTCCCTGGGCCCCCTGATTTTGGTGCCTTCGCCCTGACTGCTCGTCGGACTGCGCGGCGCCACGGCGCCACCTCGCGCAGGGCCCCCCGCCAGTCCACCTGGCGTGGCGGGGGGCCCTCTTGGGGCCGTGGGCCGTCGTGGGCTCCCGGTCGGTTCCCGTCGTGGGCTCCCGGTCGGCTCCTGGGACCTCTTTGGGCCGCGGGCCGCGGGAAGAGCTGGGACGTGGGGAGGAAGACGAACGCCGAAACCACCCCAACCCAACCCGAAGGCTCAGATTTACCCTCGATTTCTAGTGGGGGGGGGTCGGGAAACGTCGAAAAAACACGCGTGGAACCCTTACCCCCCCCAACCCGAAATTCGGGTCTTCGGGTTGGGTTGGGGTGGTCTGGTAGGTAGTAACTGCACGCACGTCTGGGGGAATCCTGGGGCCCGTGCCTGTCAAGAGGCGTGTCCCGGGGCCCCCCGGTGCTGGTGCCTCCGCCTGGACTGCTTGTCCGTCGGACTGCGTGGCACCACGGCGCCAACTCGCGCAGGCCCCCGCCGCCGGCCCACCTGGCGTGGCGGGGGGGCCCTCCTCCTCCTCCTCCCCCTCCTCCTCCTCCTCCTCCTCCTCCTCCCCCTCCTCCTCCTCCTCCCCCCTCCCCCTCCCCCTCCTCCTCCTCCTCCTCCTCCTCCTCCTCCTCCTCCTCCTCCCCTCCCCCCCTCCTCCTCCTCCTCCTCCTCCTCCCCCTCCTCCTCCCCCTCCCCATGCCGGGGTGCCCTGGGCTTCTGGGGCTCCGATGGCTCCTCTTGATGGAAGTCGATGGGCGTCCTGGGGTCTCAGTGTCCCAGGCCCCCGACGTCACGATGTCTCATGACGTCGACTCCAGAGGTCTGGACCCCTTCCCGGGACCAGCTTTTCATCCCGAGTCGTTTTCTGACGGTCCCGAGGCCCGGCAGGGGCCCCCAGAGGTCGAATATAGCGAAAAGCCTTCCGTCGTGGTTTTTGCGTGACTCGAGGGGGTCTCAGGGCTGGGCCTCCCGTGGACGGCCTCTTGTGGTCGGGCCCCTGATTACCGCACAGGCCGAGGGCCGTCGTGGGCTCCCCGGGGCGGCTCTCGAGGCCCCGCGGGGAGGCGCGGCAATGCGCGATGCGGGAGGGGGGGGGGCTCGGACGGGCAGTGGCAGCAGAAAGTAGTTCGGAGGAGGAAAACCAGACCCCCTCGACCTCTTATTCCTCCTCCTCCTCCTCCTCCTCCTCCTCCTCCTCCTCCTCCTCCCCCTCCTCTTCCACCTCCTCCCCCTCATCCTCCTCCCGCTCCTCTTCCTCCTCCTCGTCCTTCTCTTTCCCCTCCTCCTCCTGCTGCTCTACGTCGTCGACGTCCTTATCCTCCTCCTCCTCGTCATCATCATCATCATCTCCTCCCCCTCCTCCTCCTCCTCCTCCTCCCTCTCCTTCTCCTCCTCCTCCTCCTCCTCCTCCTTCTCCTCCTCCTCCTCGTCCAACCCCCCCTCCACCCGTTTCGACGGCACGTGCCCAACACCCCCAGCGGATCCAAGGTGGGGGGGAGTCATCAAAAAATCACGACAGGAGGTTTTTCGCTATTTTCGTCCTCTGGGAGCCCTCACC